GCGGGGGACACTGAGAGCAGTAACTTCAGCTAAACCTCTAGTTACCCAGTTCTCCTGAAATAGCTTAAACTGAAGTGATTTCAGGTCTTGGAAACTTTAAGGCTTGTTTTAATCCCACTGCTGTTTGGAGAAGGGGGGCCGCCTGTGTGGATATGGGCTGTGGTGCCCATCAAGCAGATGTTGACTGTGTCTTCAAATGCCAATGATTGTTTCTTTCCATCTGTACACATGAGGTGAGATTCATGTTGAGCTGTGACGTTCAGAGACTCTGTAGCCACCCAGCAGACATGAACATGGCCGGCGGGAAGGGGCACAACCAGATTCGGGGCAAAAAGAAAGCAATTCTGACTTTTTTTTTTTTTTTCAGACAGTCTTGCTTTGTTGCCCAGGCTGGAGTATAGTTGGCGCGATCTTGGCTCACTGTAACCTCTGCCTCCCGGGTTCAAGTGATTCTCCTGCCTCAGCTGCCCGAGTACCTGGTACTACAGGCGTGCACCACCATGCCTGGCTAATTTTTGTATTTTTAGTAGAGACGGGGCACCATGTTGGCCAGAATGGTCTCAATCTCTTGACCTTGTGATCTGCACAACTCAGCCTCTCAAAGTGCTGGGATTACAGGCGTGAGCCACCACGCCCAGACTGCAATTCTGACTTTTTCCCACTTGGACACCCTTCATGGGAACCAAGCTTGTGCAGAAGCCCTTGCAGTTTCATTTTTGCCAGGTTTCCCCCAATGTGGCCCAGGAGCCGTGAGGCCGCCTAGAGTGAATGTGTGTCCTGTCCTGTGGGTCATTCATCTGGCCCTTAGCAAGGGGCCCATGCAAAACCTCAGCTGGATGTTCCAGTGAACATCAGGTGGGTGTCCGGAGCTGTGCGGTCAGTGAAGATTTGTGAGAGTTTTCTATAGCCCCCCAGCATTTGACTCAGGCAGCGGCCCGTCCTACCTCCAACCCAGAGCTCACATACAACACTACTGGTCTGTCCATTCAAACACATGGTGCCAAGCAGAAGAAAGGCCCCACAATGAGGGAGCAGGTTCCTAGGCACCTGCCTCGCTGCGGACAGTTGGGTCCCCACTTTACCAATCCCCACAGCAGCTGCATGGGGAGGGCGCACCTGCTGTTTCCAGGGAGGAAATGGGGATGCCAAGGGTCCTGAGGTGAGGGGCCGCAGAGATGACAGGCACGTGCACCTGGACCTCAGCTGTGCTGCTGTCAGGAAACACTGCAAAAGGCTTTGGAGCTGTCGGGGACACACTCTTCTCATTTGTCTGTTTCTGTGGGGTCCGCAGGGGTCTCTCGGGTGTTTCCCAACTCAGAAGGCACACACAGCCGAGAGCAGTGCAAGCAACGCAGATGAGCAAGCGAGGCCGGTCCATGCAGACAGCCGGTTCCCACTGGCCCCAGCCAGCTCCGTGTCTCTCTGGGACTCCGCCTCGGTGGCTGATCTCCTGTGTCTGTGCGGACTCTGAAGACTCCTTTGAGCAGCTGTAACATCTTACTAGTCCCCTAGTTCACTAGAGAGTTACATACAATCTGACACATGTCCATGTTCTATTTGTATGAGAAATGATTATGTCACTTTTTAATTTTTTTTTAAGAGAATGTCATCTAATACCACTGCAACTAAATGCGAGGTGTCAAATGCTGGAGACTAGAGAACAGACAGCAGGGTCCCACTCTTCAGTTCACTTTTCATGGGGGAGACAGGTCTGTAGCTAACTTTGGGGTTAAAGCTGACTCCTAACAGCTGGGGAGACACATGCTACCCTGACCAACCATGTGTCAGATACTCTGGAAGTCACTGAAAGATTCAGTTTAAAAAAAAGAAAAAAAGGCAAAACAACTGGACATGTGTGGGAATTAGTCCCGGGATGCGGCCTCCCAGCTGTGCGGCTGCACGTTGCCACGGGACAATGAGTCGTATTACTCCCGGGATGCGGCCTCCCAGCTGTGCGGCCACATGTTGCCCCATGCTGCTGCAGGGTCCCATGGAGACACCCCACAGGTGGCAATTCTTTCAGTTTGTTTATGGACCTGGGAACCTGTCACTTGGGAGAAGATTCCAGACTCAAGTGCAGAAGGGGCTGCGCTTTGGGCCACTTGGGTGGAAGTGGGATATTGGACCCTTAACATCTACTTCCCTACATGTTCACATAGGAAGAGGAACCAAAGCGAAACAACACCCTTCTCGGAACCTTCCCATTCAGGGAGCACGGGGGCATTGGGCCGCCTTCCCTGGGCATATTCCAAAATCACAATGGATGGCAGTCAGTGGGACACAGGCCTGGAAGAGTGTGATGGGAGCGAACAAAGGGAGCCATCGACTCTCTCTGGGAAGGAAGGTACGGGAGGAAAGGGGACAGAGCCATCAGGTGCAGGTGGCATGGGTGGGGGTGCCACGCCAGGGCATGCACTGGGGCATGGGATGCCGGGGCCTGGTCACCACAAGGCTCATCTACATGTATAAGCAACTTGGAATATACCCCTGAAGTAAGTGGGGAGGAAAAGAGAGGAGCTCTGAGGCAGGAGAAAGGCACTCAGATCTGTTTTTCACATATGGCTCAGATCCAACATGGGGAAGCCGACAATGGAGAACCCTGGGGTTGGGTTATGGTTGGGGGTGGGACCCTGAAACACACTGAGGCGGTGAAAATAGTGAGAAGAGAACCCGACCAGGGAGGCACAGCAGGAGGGGCAGGGTGGGGACAGCCAGGTGGCTGCTGAGCAGAGGCAGGAAGAGGGCCCTGAGGTCAGGAGTGCCGAGAGTGCAGTGGAGGGGCACAAGATGCCAGGCGTACAGATCAGAACCGGGCAGCAGAGGGTTGCACCCAGGGCCTGGGACTGCTGTGCTCAGGAAGCCCAGCCCGCAAAGCTGGCCTGGAGCTAGGGCTGGGAGCATGAACTGCAAACAATGCCCTACACAGATATAAAACGCTTCTGCATGATGGCCAGGCACAGTGGCGCACACCTGTAATCCCAGCACTTTGGGAGGCTGAGGTGTGAGCCCAGGAGTTTGAGACCACCCTGGGCAACACAGCAGGACCCATCTTTACTAAAAAAAAGAAAAAAAGCTTGGGGGCTGGGCATGGTGGCTCATGCCTATAATCCCAGCACTTTGGGGGGCCACAGAGGGCAGATGACTTGAGGGCAGGAGTTAAAAACTGGCCTGGCCAACATAGTGAAACCCTTGTCTCTGCTAAAAATACGAAAATTAGCCAGCCATGGTGGAGGGTGCCTATAATTCCCAGCTACTCAGGAGGCTGAGGCAGGAGAATCGCTTGAACCCCAGAGGTGGTGACAGCAACGAGCTGAGATGGTGCCACTGCCCTCCAGCCTGGGTGACAGAGCAAGACTGTGTCTCACAATCAACAACAGAAACACGTTAAAAAGCTCTAGAATAAGAGCAGCTCACTGTGCCCAAACTGTGTGAGTGAACAGGATGCCTTGCATGACAGTGAATTCTACGGCTCCTGACTGGACACAGGATGCCCGGCAGCTAGCTGCACGTGATTTCTGGGTGTGCCTGTGAAGTGCTTCTGTAAGAGTCTGTAGACGGAGTAAAGCAGACGGACATCGTCTGGTCCCCCGGGGACATGAAGAGAACAAGAAAGGGGAGGAAGGCTGCGTCTCCCTGACTACTGAGCTATCCACCTTCTGGCCCCCTTGCTCCCAGCTCTGAGGCCTTCAGACCGGCACTGGAATCCACCCCACCGGCTCCTGGCTCTTAGGCCTTTAGGCTGCGCCACAGGCTCTCCTGGGCCTCCAGTCTGCAGATGGTGGATTGTGGATTTCTCAGCCTCCATAATCCCAAGAGCCAATATCTTCTTTTTTTTTTTTTTTTTTTTTGAGACGGAATTTCACTCTTGTTACCCAGGCTGGAGTGCAATGGCACAATCTCGGCTCACCGCAACCTCCGCCTCCTGGGTTCAGGCAATTCTCCTGCCTCAGCCTCCTGAGTAGCTGGGATTACAGGCACGTGCCACCATGCCCAGCTAATTTTTTGTATTTTTAGTAAAGACGGGGTTTCACCATGTTGACCAGGATGGTCTCGATCTCTTGACCTCGTGATCCACCCACCTTGGCCTCCCAAAGTGCTGGGATTACAGGCGTGAGCCACCACGCCCAGCCCTAGCCAATATCTTCTAATAAATCTCTTTACACACATACACACACACACACACTACTGTTTCTGTTTCTCAGGAGAACCCTGACTAGCGCAATGCTGAGCACCTGCTCTCCGGCTGGGAGTCTGGAATTCTGCTTTGTGTTAGATAAAAGTGTCGACAAAAATGCTGAGTCATCACAATTCGTTGCTGGACGAACTGGAGGAGGGCTCTTGGGAACTTGGACTGGTTTCTTCTGGAATTTTCCCCATGCGCCTTTTTCCTTGGCCCAGTCTCCTTTATCCCTCCTGTGCAGGGCACCAGCTATGGCCCCAAGTGCAACCACATGACTAATCCCAGGAGTCCTCCCAGCACACCATCGCACGTGGGGATGGTCTTGATAACTTAATGCAGAACACAGTCCATGACTCTTCAAATAAACACACCAGGTAGGTCAAAGTCAACTGGCCCCCAAAATTCTAAACAAAGCATACATTTAATATCTCAGATCACTAGCTTTCAAACTTTTCAAAGCCACAGAATTCCAATATATGTAAGGTTGAAGGTGAAGCTCAACATGTTTAAGAAGCACAGAAATCTACCTCTCCCGCTTACCTTCGTAGCCCCGGCACCTGATCCAATGCCTGCACTCAGTGGGATGCCTCCCATAAATACTTTGTAAATGGAATTAAATAACCTAAGTTCAGATCATGAAATTTACTTAACATGACACCAACCACGAAGAACCACAAAGAGAGCCTGCTGACCTAAAAACACCCATACTGCCACAGGGAGAACCTCACAGGGGACGTTTGACACGTCACACCAGACTCAGCTTCTGTGCAGTTCCAATCTGAAATCTGCAAAGTATCAGAAACACCCTTCTTTTTCTTACCGACTTGTGGTCTGGAAGCAGGAGTGTAGCCCAACCAGGAAGGGGTTGCTGGATGCTTGTTCAAACACGTGCTTCTCTGTCTGTACCCAGTCAATATCCTGAAACAGAAACCAGAGAGTGGTAATGAGGCTCCTGAACGTTCTTTACAGGTAGCCGGGACACAGGGGAGGCAAGGGAGGAGTCTCTCCCCTCTGCTTTCGGGAAGACAATGCAGAGAGGAAAAGAAAACACCCATTAGAAACTGCATCACCACCAATGTCACCAACCCCACCTCCACCCCCCCCACCATCATCACTGTGGCTGTCACCATCACCACCACCACCACCACCACCATCACCATCCACCCCACCTCTACCCACACCATCATCGTTGTCACCATCACCTTCACGACTGTCACCATCCACCCCCATCAATGTCACCATCCACCCCCACCACCGTCACTGTCACCATCACCGCCACCATCATCAACACTGTCACCATCTACCCCACCCCATCATCACTGTCACTGTCACCATCACTACCACCACCACTGTCACCATCCACCCCACCTCTAACCCCACACCATCATCACTGTGGCTGTCACCATCACCACCACCACCACCGTCATCACCATCATCATTGTCACCATCACCTACACCACTGCCATCAACAACAGCACCATCATCAACACTGTCACCATCCACCCCCACCACCATGGCTGTTGCTGTTACCATCACCTTCACCACCACCATTACCACCATCATCACCACCGCCATCATCACTGTCATCACCACCACCATCACCAGTGTCACCATCCACTCCACCTCCACCCCTACCACCATCATTGTCGCTGTCACCATCACGCTCACCACCATCACCATCATCACCATCGTCACTACCACTGTCATCAGTGTCATTACCACCACCGTCATCACCACTGTCATCACTGTCAACATCACCACTGTCATCACCACAATCACCATCATCACCACCACCATCTCCACCATGATCACCAAAGCCACCAGCTCTGGCGGTGCTGGCCTCTGGCCTCCGGGCTTTGCCCTAACGGTTCCAGGAGGCAGGTATTAGTATTTCCAGCTGGGACACGAGGAAACTGAGGTGGAGGGCTAAGCAGATTCTCCCAGGTCCCACAGCTATTAATAAGCCTGGGACAAGCCCACACCCATCGCTGAAGCAGCAGCTCTAACCACAGGGCTGTCACCCTCCTAATTCACTCTGGAGTTCAGCAAAATGTTGCAAGGTCAAAGTCAACTTTAGAGACACAAAGATCCTACAGCTTGGTCTCATCTTGACCCCAGAAAGTAGACCTGGACAAGGCTCCCAAGCCTTCCTAGGTCAACCCCTTGTCTTATCTTCAGGGTTAGAAAAATGACAGTGAAAAAGATGCGTCCAAAATGGGCTGGAGTGCAGGGGTGCAATCACTGCTCACTGAAGCCTCAACCTCCGGGGCTCCAGGGCTCCTCCCACCTCCAGGGGCTGAAAACCAGGTGGGTTGGCTGTGACTCCTCCACCCCTCCCCCAACGGCCCTCACTGGCAGCACCCACCCACTGTGGGCCTGCAGGGACATGAGTGTTGGCATGACGACCTACATAGCCCTCAGCAAAACTGAGTGGACCCTCCTGGAGGCAGCGCTGCTGAGTTCAAGGCACACCCGGCTCTGTGTGGGTCTGGCTCAGCACAACTGGTGGAAAGGGGCTTGCCAGTGACTCCCCAGGGAACAAGAGGCAAGCCTGGCCCCAGAGAGTGCAGTCTCTTTGTGGAGAGAAAGAAATTTCTAGAACCAACCATCCAGGCATTCAACAACTCCTGCAATCAGGCTCGTCTTGAAAGAGAACCCGAGTCCCCATCTCTGCATCCTGGTGCACAGAGGGTAATTTCAAGACAGAACAGAACCGCAGCAGGGACTCTTCCAAATGCCTTTTGTCAGGTCCCGCTAACTTGCTCTCATACTTCCCATTAACTTCCCAGCTGGCTGAGGTGGGCTGCAAAGGGGGTGGGAATCGTCTTGTGTTGCCGCTGGCCAGCAGCAGGGCTGTCAGCAGGGCACCACACCTCTCAGGCCTACGTTCCTCCATGCAGGGCATGGACACTGGCATCCTCTTGTCAGCATCCAGGAATGAGGGGCCACTGGATAGCCTGTGCACTGCACAGACATGGTCTGCTGGGAGGGCAAGTAGAGGCTCAGCCCCAGCCTCAGCTCCGCCCTCCCAGCCCCAAGCCCAGCCCATCGGGGTTGGATGAGCACCCACCCAGCTGCCTTCTGTGCTCCTAGCACTTGGTGACAGCAGCATTCCTGCCAACCATACATCAGCCTTTTTTCTGCTCCTGAGAGACACAACCTGCATTCAGCTATAAAAGCGAAGGCCAAAAATACCAGAAGCCAACAAGTGCATGAAGATGCTGAAACCATCAGAGAAATGCAAGTCAAAGCCCCAGCTGCAAGTGGTCCTCCCACCTCAGCCTCTGGAGTATTAGGATGGCGATCACCAAATGACACATGCTGCTGCGGACCTGCAGAAATGGGCTATGCACTGCTGAAGGGGAGGTGACACGGCACGGCTATGTGGGAGACAGTCTGGCAGGTCCCCACCGGTTGAACAGAGAATCACCATGTGACCAAGCAACTCCACTGCTAGGTCTGTACTCGAAAGACCTAAAAATAGACTCAAATGGATTCCTGTATGTCAACTTTGCAGCAGCACCACTCACAACGGCCAAGAGTGTGGATGCTGCAAATGCGCCTTAGCAGCTGCACGCACACACGTGGGGTATCCACCGTCCAGGGGTGCGCCCACCGTCCAGCGGGATATTACCCGCCAGGCAGAGAGGAAGGCGTGAGGCAGGCAGAACGCCCACCGTCCAGCGGGATATTACCCGCCAGGCAGAGAGGAAGGTGTGAGGCGGGCAGAGCGCCCACCGTCCAGCGGGACAACATTACCCGCCAGGCAATGAGAGGAAGACCTGAGGCGGGCGGCCATGCGGACGGCCCCTGAAGAAGCCAGACACCAAGCTCACAGAGACTCCATTCTGTAAATTTCGCAGAAGTGGGACGTCTGCAGAGGCAGAAGGCTGATCGGAGGCCACAGGAGCTGACGAAGAGCGGAAGCGGGCAGTGGGAAGAGGGTCTTCTTTTGGGATGAGGAAAACATTCTGGAATCAGACCAAGGTGATAGGTGCCTAACACCATACCCAATGTTCGAAAAGTCGCCTAACTGCACACTTTATTTCTTTATTTAAGTAATTAATTTATTTAAGACAGAGTCTCATTCCGTCACCCAGGCTGGAGTGCAGTGGCATTATCTTGGCTCACTGCAACCACCACCTCAAGGATTCAAGAGATTCTCCTGTCTCAGCCTCTGAGTAGCTGGAATTACAAGTGTGCACCACCATGCCTGGTACATTTTTGTGTTTTCAGTAGAGCTGGGGTTTCATCATATTGGTCAGGCTGGTCTTGAACTCCTGACCTCAAGTGATCCACCCATCTCAGCCTCTCCAAGTGTTGGGATTACAGGCGTGTGCCACTACGCCCAGGCGTAACTATACATTTTAAAATGGCAATTTCTATGTCATGTGTATTTTACTATAACTAAAAGAAAAAGGTCTATGAAGTCAGAATTAAGATTTCAATGAATACGCCAGGAGCAGTGGCTCATGCCTGTAATCCCAGCACTCTGGGAGGCCGAGGCGAGCACAGTGCATGAGCACAGGAATTTGAGACCAGCCTGGGCAACAGAGCGGAACCCCAACTCTACAAAAAACACAAAAATAGGCCAGGTGCGGTACTCACACTTGTAATCCCAGCAATTTGCAAGGCCAAGGTGGGCAGATCACCAGTTCAGGAGTTTGAGACCAGCCTGGCCAGCCAACATAATAAAACTCTGCCTCTACTAAAAATACAAAAAATTAGCTGGGCATGGTGGCAGGCACCTGTAATCCAGCTACTTGGGAGGCTGAGGCAGGAGAATTGCTTGAACCTAGGAGGTGGAGTTTCCAGTGAGCCAAGCTCATGCCAATGCACTCCAGCCCAGGTGACAGTGTCCATCTCAAAAAAAAAAACAAACAAAAAAAAACCAAAAAAAACCCAGAAAAAATAGCCAGGAGTGGTGGTGCACACCTGTAGTCCTGGTTTCCCCAGAGGCAGAGGTGGGAGGATCACCTGAGCCTGGCAGGAAGTGAGCCGTGATTACACTTTGCACTCCAGCCTGAGTGACAGAGTGAGATGCTGCCTCCACAAAAAATACAAAAGTTATACAGCTAGGGGGGGTTGCCCATGCCTGTAGTCCCAACACTTCAGAGGCTGAGGTGGGAGGACCACTTGAGCTGGGGAGCCTGAAGCTACAGTGGGCTGTGATCAAGTCACTCCAGCCCGGGTGACAGAGTGAGACCCTGTTTCCAGGGGGAAAAAAAAAAGATTTCAATGAATAAACCATTGATCCTATAATCAATAAACATATCCCCCAGAAACAGCTGACATGGGAAGGTCTGCTGTAAAGAGCCACAGCAGCTCAGCGCATCCCGAAAAGTTGGGGCCTCATGCAGGACGGAGCGGGGCAGAGCCTCTGGGCAGTTTCCTGTCCCACCCCATCATCCACCCAGTTCAGCTCAACCCCAGGGATTTCCTAACAAGGTGACAACATCCTGAAACTCAACCACGGAGACCAGGACCCCCATCGTCACCTTTTCTAAGCTCAGACACACACATGCTTTCTGTGTGTCCACTCGTGGCTGTGGTGTGCAGTGCGCTGACCCCCGTATGGGCTCGCAGCCTACTGCCGAGTCGGCTGAGCTGTCCAGGTTTGTGGAGCACACACTGGGATGTCCACACTGGGTGCAATCACCTAACCAGGCACTTGCCAGAACACATCCTGGGTGCGACACGATGTATGACTATTGATTTTGCACAAACTCTGTCACTATGAGGCGGGCTCTCGTGCACGGATTAATTCCACTAAAGCCCCGAGTGTTCATTACGGCCTTCAACTGTCCTCTTCCCAAGGAGGTGGCCCCAGGGCAGTGCGTGTCCCAGGACCCTGTACCCCATGAGAAGTGGCATCTACCCCATGGTGGTGTGTCCCAGGACCCTGTGCCCAGTGAGAAGTGGCATCTACCCCAGGGTGGGACATCCCGGGACCCCGAGCCCTATGAGAAGTGGCACCTATCCCAGGGTGGCATATCCTGGGATCCCGTGACCCATGTGAGTGGTCTCTACCCCAGGGTGTCATGTCCCAAGACCCCGTACCCCATGAGAAGTGTCACCTACCCCAGGTGGCGTGTCTGGGGACCCCGTGCCCCAAGAAGTGGCACCTATCCCAGATGGCGTGTCCTGGGACCCCATGCCCGTGAGAAGGGGCACCTACCCCAGGAGGCATGTCCGGGACCCCGAGCCCTGTGTGAAGTGGCACCTACCCCAGGCGGTGTGTCTGGGACCCTGTGCCTCGTGAGAAGTGGCACCTACCCCAGGGTGGAGTGTCTGGGACCCCAAGCCCCATGAGAAGTGGCACCTACCCCAGGCGGCGTGTCTAGGACCCCATGCCCCATGAGAAGTGGCACCTACCCCAGGCGGCGTGTCGAGGACCCCATGCCCCATGAGAAGTGGCACCTACCTCAGGGTGGCGTGTCTGGGACCCCGAGCCCCGTGAGAAGTAGCACCTACCCCAGGTGGCATGTCCTGGGACTCTGTACCCCGTTAGAAGTGGCACCTATTCCAGGTGGCATGTCCCAGGAACCTGTGTCCATGAGAAGTGGCACCTACCCCAGGAGGTGTGTCCGGGACCCGAAGCCAATGAGAAGTTGCACCTACCTCAGGGTGGTGTGTACACAACCCTAAGCCCGTGAGAAGTGGCAACTACCCCAGGGTGGCGTGTGTCCCGGGACCCCATGCCCCACGAGAAGTGGCACCTACCCCAGGTGGCATGTCCTCGGACCCCGAGCCTCATGAGAAGTGGCACCTACCCCAGGGCAGTGTGTCTGGGACCCGAGCCTCATGAGAAGTGGCACCTACCCCAGGGCAGCATGTCTGGGACCCAGAGCCCTGGTGGCACCTACCCCAGGTGGCGTTTCTGGGACCCCGTGCCCCGTGAGAAGTGGCACCTACCCCAGGCAGTGTGTCTGGGACCCTGTGCCCTGTGGGAAGTGGCACCTACTCCAGAGTGGCGTGTCTGGGACCCCAAGCTCCGTGAGAAGTGGCACCTACCCCAGACGGCGTAGGACCCCGAGCCCCATGAGAAGTGGCACCTACCTCGTCATCGTGCACCAGCTCTTTCTTCACCACTTTCATGGCGTAAATTTGGTCGTTCTTCTTCAACCGCACCAGGAGAACCTTGGCGTAACTCCCGCGCCCGATGACTCTGATTAGGTCGAAGTCCTGCAGCCCAAGCCCCTGAGAAATTTTGATTCCATCCATCCCATCAATAACTGGCTTAAGGTCCTATGAAGAGAGAAAAAGACGCCAGAAAGTGAGGGGGGTGCTCCAGGAGACTCAGAGGACCAGGCATCGTTCGTGTGGCCCCAACAGAGATCTGCTCCTCAGAGCTCAGAGCCCCACAAGTCAAGTCTCAGTTCTGCACCCCACAGATCCCACCCGGAAACTTCCATCTAAACTGGATTACAAAAGAAAGAACTTAGGCCTGTGTGCTTCCGAGGAAGGCACCAGAAAGCCGAAAGCTGTTTCTGTAGACCACGGCTCTGGTCACAGGTGCAGGTGGGAGGGACCCCCAGGAATCAGCCCTATGAGTTGGCCTGAAGAAGTGGCCACAGGGACATTTGACCCAGGGCCTGGGCTCATCCTTCCCCACCAGGGCCCTTGCTCAGGGGAAGGAAGGAAAAGCAAACGCAGCTAATGCCTGCCAAGAGCTGCCAGACTGGCAAGCAGGCATGATTAGAACTGACTATCAGAAACAAAAGGAGAAAGACGTTCTGAGGCAGAACAGAGGCTCTGCCTCCTGCTGCTGTACCTGGCAAGGATGTAGGGGTGAAGGAAGTAGCTAACTGGGGGGTGCTATTCTGTGCAGCAAAATGGGTTCTGCTTTTTCTGAGACAGGGTCTTGCTCTGCTGCCCAAACTGGAGTGCAGGGGTGTGATCTCGGCTCACTGCAGCCTCCGCCTCCCAGGTTCAGGCGGTCCTCCCAACTCGCCTCCCAAGCAGCTGGGACCACAGACCCACACCACCATGCCCAGCTAATTTATTTTTGTAGGAACAGGGTTTTGCTATGCTGCCCAGGCTGTTCTTGAACTCTCTGACTCAAGCGATCTGCCTGGCCCAGCCTCTCAAAATGTCGGGATAGGAGGCGTAAGCCACCGTGACCAGCCTTGGATTCTGCTTTCTAAGTGCCCCAGCCTCCCTCTAGAGAGGATGGCCAGGCAGGAGCATGAGTTGGGAGGGTGACATGTGCTGGGACTCTGGAGAGGTGTGGGCTTCGCCGGCGCAGCCCTTTCCTGGTTTGATGAGCCGAGGCTGAGAATGAAGCAAGCTTCTGTTCCCTTCTCAGGATTTATGGGGCAGAGATGGCCAGACATGAGGCTCAAATTGGGGAAGGACATGAATGGGCATCAGAGGGTTTGCAGGATGGCCAAATGAGGCAACAAAGGGAAGGCGGTGGTGCAGACACAACTTGATAAAAATTGCAGCTCAGAAGCCAACCCCTGGGCCACTGCACCACCTGGCTGGCACCTAGAGGCAGCTGTACCCCAGAACACCTTCAGGGACAGCTGCCTCTAGGGATTCAGCAAGGATGTGCCTGAAGTAAGATCCAAGAATAAGGACTTCCTTCTGGACACCCCACCCCTTCTGCTGTGAAGATCAGCAGCGTCCCAGACCGAGTCTACTTCACACCTAGATTCCCACGGCTGTTCCGGAGACGCTTTCCGGAGGATGTAGAAATGGTAGCGAGCTGCTTTGCACTCACCTCGGAGTCGTCTTTAATGCTGTCATGTTTCCGGGATGAGGAAATGTAAGCAACTGGTGAGAGAGGAAGGAAGGAAGGGGCGTTACACTGGGAACACAGCGACCCCGTGGGCCTTGCTCCTCCGCAGGGTGGCAGTGAAGGGTGACTCTACACAGCAGCAGAGTCTGATTCTAGTTTAGAGGCTTCTGAAAATGCAGTTTTCTGGGCCCCACCCAGACCCGCTGACTCTGACCATGAGACCTAGGGATGTACATTTGTGACACATCCCCAGGGGTGCATCTGTAGATAATTAGTCATCAGATTTTGGTGTCTAGAGAATGGGTGGGTGGGGGCAGGAGTGGATGGATGGAGGATGACTAGATGGAGGATGAATGGATGTATGGATGGAAGACGGAAAGATGGAGAGATGAGTGGACAACAAGTGGATGGGTGGAAGGTGGCTGGAGGATGGCTGTCTGGCTGACTAGATGGATGGATGGATGGAGGGTAGACGGATAAGTGGGTGGATAGATGAAGGATGGGTGGGCGGAGGATGGATGGATGGATGGATGGATGATGGATGGATGGGTCGGTGGAAGATGGCTGGCTGAAGGCTGGCTGGATGGCTAAGGTATGGATGTATATATGTTAGAGGATGGGTGGATGGAGGATAAATGGATGGATGGAGGATGGATGAATAGATGGAAGATGATGGATGGATAAATGATGGATGGATGGAGGATGGATAGATGGATTGATGGATGATGGATGGATGGATAGATGGTGGATGGATGGATAGAGGATGAAGGATGGATGGAGGATGGATAAATGATAGATGGATAGAGGATGGATGGATGGATGATGGATGAAGAATGGATGGAGGATGAATGGACAGAGGATGGACGGATGATGGATGGATGGATGGAGGATGGATGGATGGATGGATGGATAAATGATGGATAGAGGATGGATGGATGGATAGAAGGAGGATGGATGGATGGATGGATGGATAGAGGATGGATGATGGATGGATGGAGAATGGATGGATGGATGGATGATGGATGGATGGATAAATGATAGATGGATAGAGGATGGATGGATGGATAGAAGGAGGATGGATGGATGGAGGATGGATGGATAGAGGATGGATGATGGATGGATGGATGGATGATGGATGGATGATGGACGGATGATGGATGGATGGATGATGGATGGATGATGGATGGATGGATGGAGGATGGATAGAGGATGGATGGATAAATGATGGATGGAGGATGGATAGAGGATGGATGGATGGATGGAGGATGGATGATGGATGGATGGATGGATGGATGGATGGAAGATGGATGATGGATGGATGGATGGATGGATGGATGCATGAGGTACGGATGTATATATGTATAGAGGATGGTGGGTGGAGGGTGGGTGGGTAGGCAGTTGTTTTTGAGGCAACTTTTGCGTGAGACACTGAGTGTACTTAAGTGTTTTATGTTCTGTGGCCTCATATGTCCTTCCAGGCTCCCAACAGGACAGAACTCACATGCATCAAGTCAAAGTGAGGCTCTCACACCTTGTGTGGTGGTGCAGGTTTGGAGGTCCAGAGCTGGGCTGTGAGTCCTATTGGTGTTTGAGATCTCTGAATGCTTCTCAGCATAAAAGAAGCCCCACCCCCGGACAAAAACTCACAAAACTCCAAGGACCATGCCCCGGCCACACTGTGCTCACAGCAGCCACCTCGCCAGCCTTTCCCCAGACAGGGCTCAGCTCTGTTCAGCAGCCAGACTGTGGAGGTGCCCAGTGGTGGCCGCTGTGCTAAGTGCCCTTGAGAACCCCCAGAGCTGGTGTACAGGAAGAGGCTCTGCACCCCCAAGCTCCCACAACAGCGCTTCACGGAGGCATCCCTGCCCAGCAGCCTCCAGGGAGGGCCAGCTTGCCCTGCCCGTCTCTGCCAGGGATTGAGAAGAGGCCCTGCAGAGCCTCATCCCCAGCCTCGGGGTAGGGTGGCCAGGCTTGTGGACAATGACCCTTGTAGAGCAGAGGGGCCTGAGAAAGGACTCGTGGCCAGAGGCAGATGTGAGCAGGGTGAGGCAACGCCCAGGCTCCACCCAGCCAGAAGGGAGCAGAACCTACTTCCATCTGTCTCCTCAGAAGGAAGGTCGGTGTCCTCGTTCTTGTCGTCTACTGGAGGTTCTTGGGAAGGCATGACAGAATCCTGGCAGAGAGACAGAGGGATGGCAACATGACTGAGTGGTGGAGCAGGTGTTATAATGCTGCTTCTGTAAACACTTTGTGACTTTTTATAATTAAAAAAAATTTTACAGACAGGGTCACACTTTGTCATCGTCCAGGCTGGAGTGCAGTGGCACGATCATAGCTCACTGCAGCTTCAACCTCCTGAGCTCAAGCAATCCTCCCACCTCAGTTTCCAGAGAAGCTGGGACTACAGGTGTGCACCACCACACCCGGCTAATTTTTGTATTTTTGTAGAGATGGGGTCTCACCATATTGCCCAGGCTGGTCTTGAACTCCTGGCCTCAAGTGATCCTCCCACCCTGGGCCCCCAAACTTGGGATTACAGGTCTGGGCCACCACACCTGGCCACTTCAAAACTTTCTATGATTTACATATTTACATATTACAATGGGTATATTGTAACACAGTGTATAAGAATATAATTGTGGCCAGGCGTGTTGGCTCATGCCTGTAAACCAAGCACTATGGAGGCCACAGTGAGTGGATCACCTGAGGTTGGGAGTTCAAGACCAGCCTGACCAAGATGGTGAAACCCCATCTTAAAAAAAAAAAAGTAACAGTAAAAAAAGAATATAATTGTTATGCATCACACTGAATATATGATGAACATAAACGTCACCTATGATTCTATGGACAGAGGCGACCACTCAGTACTGTAGGTCATGACCTTTCCACCATGTGCTTTATAAACGGGACATTTTGCACAACTCGTGGTAACCCCTCGTCCCAATGCCGCATCTTGTCCATAACCAGGCATCCGAGGGCCAACCTAAGGGCCTCTGGGTCCTGCCTGCAGCTGGGTCATCATGGAGCCGCCCTTATGGTTGGGTGGCAGGCGCTGGCCTCCCTTCACCTCTAGCTGGCCACATCTGGGGCTGTCTCATTTGCTTAAGCTAAAGCAGACCTATGGGGTCAAAGGGCATGGCAGGCTTTTCGGCAGATGCAGCTAAAGGACCTCTGGAAGGACTGTGCCAATGCATGCGTGGCCCCCATCTCTGCACCTGGTGATCCTGGGGTGACACCCCATCCAGATTCTATCATTGTCCCGTAACAGAAGAGAGGGCACGTTGCCCCCAAAAGCACCTTCCCTCCCATGCCACAGCATGCTGCAGACAAGCCAACCTCCCCAACACACCCCCCCACACTGCAGACAAGCCACCCTCCCTGACACACCCCCACACGCTGCAGACAAGCCACCCTCCCGGGACATACCCCGCACGCTGCAGCGGGGCCCAGTGGGTTAATGCTCAGTCCAGGTCGAGGCCCGGGGTTCAGTGAGACGCAGGGGGTCACACAGAAATCCCAGAGATGGCCTGAGGACTCAGTAAGGCAAAGTTAACAAGGCCCCAAAAGGCCTGGACGCTTCAAGTCCAAGCACTCAGGGACAGGAAAGGGAAGGTGCCGACCTCATCATAGGCTGGGCACGGCTTCCCAAGGAGGATGCCAGGGAGGGGCTCCAGATATTCGCAGCCTCTTGGCGTGCCCAGTGCTACTGGGTCAGACCTGGCTGTCATCTCCATAGCCCCAAGAGCTGGTGCAGGACAGGGGTATGAATGAACCCTACCCGTGCCCAACGGAGCAGAGGGTGCCAGGGGCTCGTGGGGGCTCAGGAAGACAGGTCCCTGTGTAGGGACCTGGGGTCCAGTCTAGGGCTGAGCAGAGTCGTGGGGGTGTGCCCTGCTTGGCATTCATTCAGACCCGAGACTGCTGCCTGGCCTCATGCTGCAGCCCAGAGACAGGACGGCACCACGGCCCCTCTTGAAGAACCCAGGGTCATCAAGGTCAGCTTGGACGGTGGGCTGGCGGCCATATCCTGGCCCTGCCTGCGCTCCCCAGGGGCTCCCCAGCCCCGCCACTCACCATATGCCTCCTGCAGGTCAGCGGGACGAGGCCGTGGCAGCGCTTATGGACCAGCAGTTTGCAGTTGATGCACCTGTAGCCTTGCTTCGCGAGGCCCCATATCCTCTCACTGCACTGGCCACAGTACGCTCTCTGCAGACAGGAACAGAACGTCAGGCCCAGGCTGAGGGGCCAGGCAGGGCCTTCCACACCTGCACCTTCTCAAAAGAGGACACGGAGCTGGGCCACAGGTGGCCCCAGTCCCTTGTCCCTTCCAGGCGCCAGGCTGGCCAGAGCTCAGTAGCTCCTTCTTGGGTCCATGCCAAGGTTGGGGGAACCAATGGCCCCAAGGGGAGGTCTGGAACTCTGCTCTGTGTGAGGGGATACAGGGGAGGTCCCACAGGAAGAAGTCACCCCGTGTCCCCTCACACAGAGCAGGCGCTGCCTCAGGGAAGGCCCCCTGGCTTGCAGAGGCTGGGGCTGCAGCTCCCTCCGCACTCTGCGCACAGAGGTCTGGAGTCCTGTGTAGGGACCTGGGGTCCAGTCTAGGGCTGAGCAGAGTCGTGGGGGTGTGCCCTGCTTGGCATTCATTCAGACAGAATCTCCTCCCAAGAGCCTCAGAGAAGGCAAACTTGGACTCATGAACGTCCTGAACCGCTACATGGCAGCCTGCAATTATCTCAGTATTCTTTGTTCAGTATTTTTCAGGATTTAAAATGATCCTTCTTTATTCTTCATGGTTCTAAACAATTCGAAGATGACAGTAATTATCAGCTTGTTTGGTGATGTTTTCACGAATGTTTAAACGTTACAAAAGGCAGGAAAATGAATGTTGTTGGGCCTGCCTGGGTGTTTGCTGCCTTGCCCAAGTGCCCGAAGGGGTCTCAGCAGTTAAGGGGCACATCTGCACTGTCACCGCATGCCTGGAGTCTCCAATTTAGATTTTTTCCAGACAACCTTTCATAGCTTTTCCCTACTTTACCATTTTCACAAATTTCCTTCCTATTAGACAGTCTTACTTCACTCTCAAGTTAGGAAGCAGGGACACAGTGAACTGTGAACAGCGTGCACTGAATTCATGTGAGGAAGCGGGGACTTTCAGCATGGGTAGGCATCAGGTGCAGCTGAGCAAACAGGGCCCATGCCCTGTACGGGACCCTTCTGCTATCAGGAAGAGCCTGTTCGGGGGGACACCAGCCGCCAGGGACTCTTCCCTACAGTGTGACTACCACCTAGGACAGTGCCCAGCACACAGTAGGCACCAGGCAAGAAAACACACACTCACAATCACTTTCAACTTCTGTAACAGGAAAATGAGCTGGCTGCACATCCTTGGCACATGCCACCTCCATCAGCCCACCCACAGCAGAGCCAGACCGGGACCGTGCACTCTATTTGAACGAGGGAGGGGTGAGGGGCATCCCACCCAAGACCCCCAACTCAGGGCCAATCTAGCTTAATGCTGGCATCAGGAGTTTTGCCCCTGTCAGCACCTGCTGAATGCAGGGACCCTGGAGTGAAAGGAGGTGCTTCGGCTGTGCAGACCTGCTCCACTCTCCTCTGTTTCCAACAGCGCAGGAGAACACCAGCTTCCATATCTAATGCCGTTATTTAAAAATCAAATTTTTTTGGCTATAATGTGCCTAATACGTTTGGCTTTCTCTCCTACTCTGCAATGCTAGGGTCCTATTTAAGACCAAATTCGCAGCCACCAGGTGTCTTTACAAATTAACCAAGGTTGATTGGGCGCAGTGGCTCATGCCCGTAAATCCCAGCACTTTGGCAGGCCAAGGCAGGTGGATCACTTGAGGTCAGGAGTTCAAGGCAAGCCTGGTCAACATGGTGAAACCCCTTCTCTACTAAAATACAAATATTAGCCGGGCGTGGTGGTGATACCTGTAATCCCAGCTACTCAGGAGGCTGAGGCAGGAGATCTGCTTGAACCTGGGAGGCAGAGGTTGCGGTGAGCTGAGATCACACCACTGTACTCCAGCCTGGCAGAATGAGACTGTGCCTCAAAAAACAAAACAAAAAAAACCCCAAACGAACAAAAAAATTGACCAGTTTCCTTTCTGTGGGGAGCCACCCGTAGCTGGGGTCAGGCCAGGACAACTGCTGACAAGGGCAGCGTCAGTCTGTCGAGGACCGGTGCCCACCAGAGACCTCGTGTGCTTTGTAGGTGAGGCTGCCCAAGCTCTGCCAAAGGCTCTTGTTTCAAACCCACATTTCAATTAGCAACATTTCAGGAAACGTGACATTAAAAAAATAAAACCTAAACTCCAAGTTTCCATTCTCAGAAACTTACAGGAATTCATGGCTTAACAGTAAAAATGTTTAAGTCTGCTTTACATGTTGCCAACTTGTTCCCTGCTCATATTTTCTTTCTTTCTTTTTTTTTTTTTTTTCTGAGACAGTCTCACTCTGTTGCCCAGGCTGGAGTGGAGTGGCATGATCTCAGCTCACTGCAACCTCTGCCTCCTGGGTTCAAGCGAGTCTCCAATCTCAGCCTCCCGAGCAGCTGGGATTAACAGGCACCCGCCACCACACCCAGCTAATTTTTATATTTTTAGTGGTGACAAGGTTTCACCATGTTGGCCAGGCTGATCGTGAACTTCTGACCTCAGATAATCCGCCTGACTTGACCTCCCAAAGTGCTGGGATTACAGGCATGAGCCACTGTACCCGGCCTCCCTGCTCATATTTTCAATGCCCCATTTCCATGTTTTAGACACACCACATCTTTACCTATTCTGCTGGTCAGAGCCCCCGTCTGGGCTTTTGCCAGCTCTGGCTCAAGACAGCCTGCTTCCCACTGTGTTCTGTGGTTTTCGACTGCGAGCTCAGATGCCTGATTCATTTATCAGCGGGAATTCTTTGAGGCTGGTTTGAAGAGGAACTGTGTTGTCCTCTGCCAGCCACCTGAGGGCACTGCTGCTCCTGGGTGGCATCTTCTCATTTCCCTTCCCCACTCTCACCCTCTATAGCCTCTTCTTCTCCAGGGACCCAAGTGGTCACTCTTTTGTCCACTCACGATAAAGGCCAAAGTCCTGGGCCACCCACCCAGCTGTCCCTGTGGCATTCGTGGCCTGTGTGCCACCAGCAGAGGGGGCTCTCCAGCAGCCACAGCTCGGAGACGTGGCCCACCATGGTTTATAATGCAGTGATGGAGTAGGTTGTTCACAGCAAAGGGAGCAGCTAACTCCAGACACGATTCCCACTCTTGCTTGTAAAAATAATGCTGAGCTGATCTTCCCCAAACACAAACCTCCAAATGATGGGCGATTTCTTTTGAAGAGAGGCCGGACGGGAACATGGCAGGGCCGCACATTTCCGGTGTGATTTCCAGAGAGTATGGTCCGTGTCTACCTGCCAACCCCAGGATGGCAGACCCCATGACAGCAACCCTGGGCTTTAACTACTTTCAACATCTTCGATATTGACAGAGAAAACGTCATGTTTCCTTGATGACCTGTGGTCAAGCTGTCCTCATCTATAAACGATTACAGTCTTATTTCATCATTCATTCACCCCCGTGCTCTCAGTCCCAGCATCTACCAAGAGCCCTTGTGTAGGAGCTCTTTAATCCAAAGTGTGAGTTGTTTGGATCTCTTCTGGGTTTTATGTGCTACAAACACTTTTCCTGTGTGTTTTTTTGCATTTAATTTGGAAAGTAAAAAAATCTGAGAAGTCTGTGTGGCTGAGTCTGAAGACCCTCTGGTTCTCACTGCCAAGTTTTGCTCCAGAGATCTGCACGGCTTCTAGGTTTATTTTTTTTTTAATTTATTTGAGATGTAGTCTCACTCTGTCACCCAGTGGCACAACATCAGCTCACTGTAACCCTCACCTCCCGGGTTCAAGCGATTCTCCTGCATCAGACTCCTGAGTAGCTGGGATTACAGGCACACAGTACCATGCCCAGCTAATTTTTGTATTTGTAGTGGAGATGGGGTTTCACCACGTGGGCCAGGTGGATCTTGAACTCCTGGCTTTAAGCGATCCACCCACCTTGACCTCCCAAAGTTTTGAAATTATAGGCGTGAGCCACCTTGCTGGGCCCAATTTTTTTTAACCTCAATCCACCTGCAGTCTACTGTGATGGGAGCCAGCAGCCTGGATTTCTGCCCACCTCCCCCTTCCCCACCCTGTTCTGGGGCTGATAATTAATCAAGGATCCCCTCCCTCCTCCTCTATAGGAAGTGCTCGGCCCGGGGGCCCAGGGCCAGCTCCAACCCAGCAGCTATGTCTCACTGAGTGGGCTTCCCTGTCCCCCAGCACCATCCCTCCTGGGGAGGAGGCAGCCCCTCCTCACCTCCTCCTCCAGAACCTTGCTGGCTCTCTCCCTTTGGCTCCCTTACTGAGCGCTTTCTTCTCATGGTCCAAGAACAGTCATTTCAAGTCCACACAAAGACCCAGGCAGGAAGCCCCAGTCCCGAATGACTGACACCCACTCTTTCATCCTCAGAAGAGCACGGAAAAGTCCTCCTGGGTGCATATTCCCCTTTAAGTTTTGCTGATTCACACAAAACCAAGTGCTTCCCTCCTGAAATGCCCCTTTTAAGTGACAGTGGAGGTGATCTGAGCGGTCCTGCAATTAATACAAAGTGAGCGCTACATGGAGCAGCTCTGAGGTCTGGGCAGAGAACATCACTGGCAGGAGGGGAGATCAGAGCCCAGGCACAATTAGGGGGGAATGGGGCGGGGTGAACCAAAGGGCAGCTGCCCTCCCTGTTGCAGGCTTTTGCCGCATCTCGCGTCGGCCTCTGTGTTTGTGAAACTGGCTTGTCCATGCACCCTGGAGGGCTGTACTTCCATAGCAGAGCAGGGCTGCAGTGTGTCCACCAGCCACCCACCTCTCCAGTGTCCAGAAAAAGGAAAAGCTTCTGCTCCTGGTGGTGGGGAGGGTCACTTATGGTCTGCACCAGCCATCAGCGGAACAGACTTTTCTCCTAAATGCTGCTCGGTCAAAGGCCAGCACCCTGCGCTGCCTGGAGCCCTGGCCTGTCACTGGGTGGGCAGGGTTCACGCAGGCCACGTGCAATGGAAGGAGGGGGAGTGGTTCCTCTCTGAACCTGGGAACAATGCTGTGTGCTGCTCCCAGACGTTGTGGGGGAAGGAGCACACAGCACTGTGGCACTGTGATGGGTAATGTTATCTAGAGAACCGGTGACGTATGGCTTCCAGGTGTGTCTGAGGGTGCCACCAGGAGACTGACATTTGAGTCAGTGGACTGGTACGGCAAGACCCACCCTCAGTGTGGGTGGGCACCGTCCAGTTGGCTGCCAGTGCAGCCAGGACAAAGCAGGAGCAGGCGGAAGCGGGCTGGAGGAGCGGCTTGCTGGGTCTCGGCTTTCATTGTTCTCCCGTGCTGGATGCTCCCTGCCGTTGGTCCTGCCCTTGGACATCAGACTCCAGGCTCTTCGGCCTTTGGACTCTGGGACTTACACCAACGGTTTGCTGGGGGATTCTGGCACCTGCAGTGTTGAATTCCCTACTTTTGAGGCTTTTGGACTTGGCATGAGCCACTACTGACTTCTTTCTTCCCCAGCCTGCCAGACGGCCTATCATGGGACTTCGTCTTGTGAGCACGAGGGCCAATTCTCCCTAATAAACTCCTTTCATGTACACCCATCCTATCGCTTCTGTCCCTCTGGAGAGCCCTGACTAATAAAGGTACCTTGGCTTCGGACTTCTAGCCCCCAACTGTGGGACAGCAAGTTTCTGTGGTTTAAGCTGCCAGTTAGTGGTGCTCTGTTCTGCAGCTCTGGAAAACTCACACTGTGTGTCCTCAGAGTAGGCGGCCAGGGTGGGCTGGGGTGCCGAAAGGATCTCCGTGTTGCAACCCTCCCTGGTACCATTTTCCACAGACACCCCCAATGTGGCCACCTCCAGCCACACTCTCCTGAATGCCAGCCTGGGCCAGGCTGCCTGTTCACCCACACCCACCTGCCCTAAGCACATAGCCACCTAGGCTCTCTACATCCTGGTGTTCCCAACCTCATTCTCAGGGCCCCCCAGACACTGGCTGAACTCTCCCGTGCCTGCCACATTCTTGGTACTCCTGGCATCTCCTCTGCACTGACCTCCCAGGCAGTATGATCAGATGCCTCCTCCTCCAGGAAGTTCTCTGGGCTTTCCAGGCAATACCTAGGTGTTCCCAGCACTGGCCTGCTCATCTCCTGGAGCCTAGTTCACTCCACACCCCTCTTCAGTCACTCAGTAGCTCGCCCTGCATCTCTGTCTGAGTCAGCCTGAAGAGGGATGGGAGTCCAGACCCATTCTTGCCACATGATGGGGACCGCACAAACAGTGGGGAGGAGTGGCTCACATGCACAGAACTGCCTGATGGTCTAGAGGGCTGACCATGGGAGTAGAAAGAGGGGCAGGTGACCTGGGGGCACTCCAGGACACAGAGGGGCCAGATGCCCAGCGGAGGTTGACATGTGAGACCACGTGGAAGGTGAGCATGGAATGCAAAGGTAGCCCCAGGGCCACCACTCCTGACAACTGGGCAGCCTCCATGATGCTCTCTCGCCGAGACACATGTCCGTGAACCCTCCTGCCACTGAGCATAGGGAGGGTGGGGTACAGACAGAGGAAGCAGCGGGGCTGGGACTGAACCAGCACGCAGTGGCCTCAGTGCCTCATTGGGCTGGAGACAGCTGGGCTGGCAGCCACCTGTCATGGGGTCAGACTGTAGGAGGCACAGGGCTGACTGGGTGGTAGCATGTGAGGGGCTGTGGGGTGCTCTGTGTGGAATCCCACAGTGGGGACAGGCCCTGTACACTTCCACGCACCCCCAAGTCACTCCCTGTGTGGGACAAACTCTAGGGCTGCCAAGGCACCCTAGACACCTCCCCTTCCACTGTGAAAGAGAACAATTACAATAGCATCTTAATCACCCATTCCGTAGGAACTAGAAAAGCCTCATAATGAGGAACAAGGGAAGTAATCTAAGTGTCCTATGTAAAGGGCCCCTGAGGGCAGCCGGTGGAAAGACAGAGGGCCAAGCAGGGATGGGGGCTGAAGGAGCTTCCGGGGCTTCCGGGGCTCCCGGAGACTCTTGCTGCCGACAGGAAACCCTGTGTGCAGTCAGGAACACATATCTGGCACTTCATGTGGAATGTGGCCACCCTACTCTGGATGCAGGCAGGCTGGGGCCTCAGGCCAGCAAGCCAGCTCTGAGCTCTGGTAAGAGTCACACAGCCAGGAAGACACAGACGGCATTCACTGGGCAGCCTCTATGCAGGGGAAGGCCCAGAGGGTACTTCCCGCCTCTGACAGCCCTAGCCAAGGCCCCCATCCTGCACCAGAGAAAGCATTACTGTAACCCTGCCCTCAGGCACCTAAAAGAGCCTAGTCTGGGCTCAGCAGGATGTGCCTCCCCTCCTCCCTCTGCTTTTAAAAGTAACAAAAGACCCCTTGAGGGACCAGTCCCGAGGGGCACTCACCCTGTTAAAGCGCTTGGCTTGGAAGAGATGGCCGTTGGCACGGTACAGTTTTCTCCATCTTCTGGCTCCCCGGCGGTAGATGGATTCTGGAAAGGATAGGAGAAAGGCATAAAGAAACAGGTGGTGGCCACAAGCCCACACAGGGTGCAGCTGGGACAGGCTACCCTGTCCAGGTGGTGGTGGCTGCAACGTCCTCCCAGTCTGGGAAGGCAGGGCTGGAATGACGGCCTCCAGGCGGCCTCTCTGCGTCTCCTCACATGATCCTCACGGTGTCATGGCCTCAGTGGCTGCAGACAGTAGCCCAGATGAGGATGGAGCTGGGATCCTTATGGCGGCTCACTGACTACGGAACCGTGAAGTTGCCCCAGGCCAGCACAGGCCACCCTGTCTGCCCTCCACCTGTTTTCCTCTCCACGCCCCTTCTCCCCAGGTGGCCCCATGAAAAACAGACCTTTTTTCCACACAGGGACAGTTCAAATGGGCCTCGATATTTACACATGACTGTCAGAGGAAGGAGAGTAAACGGCATGCTGGGGCCTGAGCCAGCCTAAGACACAGAGTGCCACTGACTTTGGCAACTTGCCAGAGGCGGCACGAGGCCCGGGCTCCCCAGTCCAGTTTCCTTTAACCTAATAAATCTCAGGGCAGGAGAGTAAACTCATGGTGCACTCATTTCCATTCGCAAGTTACCAGAAACATCACCTTTCTAATTCGCCTCTGACAGTCGGCCCATGCGGACGGTGCTGCTTACGAAAAATGCTGGCACCAAGTCGTAACCAGAAGGCTGGCCTTGTCCCTCCTAACCGGGTCTCCCTTCGCGCCTCCGAAACACTTTGAAACGAATGTGTGTGTAAACAGAATCTTCAGAAACACAACATACAACGGAAAGCTTTGTGCTTTTATAAAATTCCATCATAAAAGCGACTTTCATGACCCGAATGAGAGCGCCACGAACACACTGAAGTGTAAACTGTAACAGAATGCTTTTAAAACAAGCGAATGACTAGCTCTGGCCGGAAACCGCTGGAATCGGGTCACACAGAGGGGAAACCTGCTCCTCTTCCTCTAAATGGGAGATTCAGTGCGAAACCCAGAGGTCAGGGGTCCTCAGGAGAGCGGGGGAACTAGGCCCACGGGCCCTCCACAGCAGCAGCAGCCGGGGTCCCGAAGCCCGGGCACAGTGCGGGATTGACAGAGGCCTGCGACACAGACGCGACTCTCAAAGACTCGAAGGCAGGCTGGGCCGTGCAGCCTGCGCGCCTTCCGCCCTCCACCCACCTGGGCGCCAGGCCTGGGATCCACACAAGGCACAGCCCCGGGAGCCGCCACTTTCAGCCCCGGTGGCCCTCAGCCCTGAGGAGGTCGGGTGAGCCCCCACGTGGCTCTGCCCACGAAAACGGGGCCCGAGTCTTGCCCTGACCAGCCCACTGCAGGCCCCGGCTCCACGAGTCCGCAGGTGTGACCGTCCCCTCGGGAAACGCCGGTGCCCCACCAACCGTCTCTGAAAAGAGAGAGAATTTGTGGAGCGGAGGAGACAGAGGCGCTGTGGGACACAGACACGACGGCTCACAGCCGGGGGACGGAGCCGAAGGCGGGACGCACAGCCAGGGGGCGGAGCCGAAGGCGGGACGCACAGCCGGGGGGGCGGAGCTGAAGGCGAAACGCACAGCCCGGGGGCGAAGCCGAGAGTGGGACACACAAGCCGTGGGGGACGGTGCCCAGGGCTGGATGCACAGTCGGAGAGGTGGAGCCGAGGGCCGGACGCACAGCCGGGGGGCGGAGCCTAGAATGGGACGCACAGCCAGGGGGCAGAGCCCAGGGCTGGATGCAGTCGGGGAGGCGGAGCCGAGGGCCGGACGCATAGCTGGTGGGCGGAGCCGAAGGCGGGATGCACAGCCCGGGGCGGGACGCAAAGCCGGGGAGGTGGAGCCGAGGGCCGGACGCACAGCCGGGAGAGGGAACCAAGGCGCGGATGCAAAGCCGGGGGCGGAGCCAAGGGTGGGATGCACAGATGGAGACAGCACCGAGGGTCGAACACGCAGCTGGGGGCGGAGCCAAGGGGCGGGGGCATAGCCGAGGGGCAGAGCGGAGGGACGGACGCACAGCTCTGGACCTAGCAGGCCGGATGGGGACACATGGGACCCACCTCCAATGCACCTGGGAAAGTCTGAAAATGCGCCAACTGCACACCTTTCAGGTTTAATCAGTAACGAGACTCGATGTCCTAGCAGATGCCAGGCTCATCAGGCAGCCCCAGCAGGGTGAACAAACGCTCCCAGGGGACACAGCACACAGCCCGGGGTCCCCAGTCCCCGCCGAGACGAACGCAAGTGTCCCCATCCTTCCTTGTCTGGGAGCCCGCGTGTCTCTGCCCCGGCTTGTCCGGGGGCCCACGTGTCTCCATCCTGGCTCATGGGCCCCACTGCGCTGTGAGTTTCTCAGACTCCCCTTGCTTTCTGGCTGTGACAGTTCTGAGTGCAGGCTGGGTGTCTGCAGGACGCCCCTCCATTGGGACTGGCCTGATGTTTGTCTCAAGGCGAAACTGCTCTCATAGCCTCCTTAGCTTCTGAATCAAAGCAGCACCTTCCTTGAAAAATCCACATTCCTACCTTTTGGGGGGATTCTGCAACTGCCAAAGCAAGCAACCACGAACCTCCCCCCCACCAACTTTCTAACTTCAGAAAACTGACTAGAAGTTTTCCCAAATACAGGGGGCCTGGACACGCTGGCTGGCAGCCACTCAGCCTTTCTGGGCCTGCTGATGAGTACGCTGGGGGGACCTGGCAGCCCCTGCCCCTCAAAGGTCACAGTCACATCTTCAGCGTTTGGGTTTCTGTCTGGAAAGTGACAGGCCTATTCCTGACCTAAGCAACAGTCAGCGCTGTGAAAAGAAGAAGGGCGAGAGGGCACTGAGCCCATCCGGGGAGCACACACTGAGAATGGCCCCTGGCCCCCAGGTCCCACTGCGAGGAGGCTGTGGGCCCAGCATTGTGCAGCCCCCTGGCCACCTCTTGGAAAAGGATCCCAAAGACAAACCCAGGTTAGCAGAAGCCCCTCCAGGGCTGCATCTGGACACAGCATGGGGTCTCCCACAACGCCCCCATACAGTGGATGGCACAGCCACGTGGGTCAGGCTGTGGCAGGAGGGATCTGGCTCCAGAGTCAGAGCTGGCTCGATGTCACATGCCCACTGGGGACCCCATCCTGCCACCTCCCTGGGTGCCAGGTTCCGAGGCAAGCAGGTAACGAAATTGTGGGGAACACAAGGGCCACTACCCCTCTTTCAGCTTTAACTCTGACAATCTCAAGGGGCTTTGTGCGTTCCTTTGAGATTCTATAATTAGGACGGCGACAGGAATTCTGAGGAGCTCAGTTTCCATGGCAATCTCGCACCCTGAGCGCTGACAAGACGCAGAAAACACATTTTAACACACTAAGCTTGGAGAGCAGCAGGCTGGGGCAGGTGACAGCCCTGGGGTGTGGGGGCAGGGAGGGAGGGGCCGTATCCCCAGCAGCAGGTCAGGGGGCACTTGAGGCCTCCCTGTTCCCTGGATATACGGCCCTGCTACATGGGGTGACCAGCACAGCCCAAAGCAACACCACAGAACAGGCCTGTGGTGCCCAGACAGGGGCAAGTCAGCAGCCAAGTGACAGTCAGGTGCCTCTTATGGTGGCCCAGGTCAGTGACCAGGAAGACAGGACAGTGAAGTGCCCTTGGGACCTGGGGTCCCCAGAAGCCGGGGTGCAGCTGTCATCAAGGGTGCGGGTAAAACGGGCACTGCCACCTCCAGACTCCACACCTTGCCTGGGCAGCTACTTCCACTGGATTCTGAGCTCCAGGAGCGCGGTGTCGCCTGCCTTCTTCTCCAGGCCTCCGCGGCACAGTCAGCTGCCAGCATGTCCTGGGCAAATCGAGACATGAGAGTAGCAGCGACTGCAAATGCATGTCCAGAGCTACAATGTCCCAGCGCTGCCCACAGCCCAGATGCTGGAGTTCGGGATTTGGGGTGAGATTCCCCACTTTGCCTGGCTCAGCCTGGTTGGCCATCAGTCCACAAACTGACCTGCACCCTCTATGGTGGGCACTGGGCCACCCTGGCAGGGGACTGTCAGGAACAGGCACAAGGACACAGAGTCCTAAAAAGCCACCAAAAGTCGCAGGAAAACACCATTTGCCTATTTACTAATGCGGAGCCCCAAGCCTTGGCTACCCCTGCACCAGGGTTCCCGCCGCCTTTCCGGCCGGAGCACCCCTGGCAGAGCTGCCTGAACATCAGTCCTTCCTTCCTTCTGCACTGGCAGGCACTGTCAGAGGGGCTGAGGGCAGTAGGAGATGATGTGGGGTGGTGGGATGGACCAGCAGGACCAGAGAGTGAAGAGACACAGGGAGGAGCATCCGAGGACCTGGGAGGCCCCAGAGTGGGGGCGGGGTGATGGAGGTGCAGCCCCTCTGAGGGACCACCCGGATGGCAAGCCTGCAACCCGAACTTCCCGTTTCTAACCAGGATCTATTTCCCAGCTGAAAACACGACTGAGAACATGCTATGCTTTTAATGGGGACTGAAGAGTAACAAAGCCATAGAAGCAGACGTGGAAAAAGGTTTCGGGCACTGCTGTGGTGGGGATTGGATGGCTGCCCGGGGCACAGGGTCTGTTTCGGGGACGGGCAGCCACTGCCCAGGCTCCCACAGAGGCGACCACTTCCCGCTTCCTACAGCCACCAAGTGCAAGCACACGCAAAGAGCTTGAGCGACAGAAGAAGCACAGCCGAGGCATGAGTCAGGCAAACGGGGAGCCAAGCTCTGCTGACTTCCGTCCTCTCACATCCAGGCACGTGGGACACCCAGAACCCTGGGAACAGGCAGAGCCCGGCCCTGTGGGCGCCAGGGCCATGTGGTGTGGCACAACGGGTATCACGGTGTCAGTGATACAGGGGACAGGCAGGTGGATGTGGGGCCCAGGAGGGTTGGGTGGGCGTGTCCCTGGGATGATGCAGCAGCAGGGGGCTCCTCAGGTGGTGGCGGCCCTCTGGGAGGTGACCCCGGGTGAGGGGCAGGTGGCAAGCCTGGGCCAGTCTCAGAGTCCA